TGTGTGTGTGTGTGTGTGTGTGTGTGTGTGTGTGTGTGTGTGTGTGTGTGTGTGTGTGTGTGTGTGTGTGTGTGTGTGTGTGTGTGTGTGTGTGTGTGTGTGTGTGTGTGTGTGTGTGTGTGTGTGTGTGTGTGTGTGTGTGTGTGTGTGTGTGTGTGTGTGTGTAAGTGTAGCATCGCGTGGCAGCGATTGATCAGCGGCGTGCGTGAGAAACGCGTCCGTCTCAATTTGGCTATTTGCTTTGCTGTAAAGCGATACGCATCTTTACATGCGAATAAAATCGGATGGCTTCGTTAGCGATAGACTGCCGCCACCGATGCGCGCTCCTTTTGCTCAAGGCACGACGGTGGGCCTTTTCATTACCACGGTAGCTGTCACCATGGTAACTGTAACCAATGTACATATCACCATGATAGCTGTTACCATGGTAGTTGTCATCACGGTAACTGTTACCATGGTAGCTATCATCATGGTAACTGTCACCAGGGTAGTTGTCACTACGGTAGCTGTCACCACGGCAACTGTTACCATGGTAGCTGTCGCCATGGTAACTGTCACCATGGTAACAGTAGCCAGGCACCCATCGCCTTATATTTAAGTCAATTTTGCCTCCATTTCTCCTCCCCCTTATTCCTTCGCCTACACCTCTTTATCTTCATCCTGATCCTTCCCTAATCTCCTTTCCTCCTCAATCTCTCCATTCTTGTTTTTCCCAGGACCCTTATTATTTAACCCCTTCTCCTAATTCTTACTCGCCCCCTCTTTCTTTCCGTACGCCTTCTCTAGATCTTCCTCCTCCTCCTCCTCCTCCTCCTCCTCCTCCTCCCCTTCCTTCTGATCAAAGCCGACGAAAGCAACATGGCGACGTGCCGACAACGACGACCACTGCTCTGTACTGACGTGGCAGCCCCCGCGCGACGATGGTGACAGTCTAGGAGCGCGCCGGCGCGTGCGCGAACACTCGTGTGCATGTTACATTTGTCGAAACATTTGCGCGGTGACGTGTTACGTGATTGCGTAGCGGGCAGCTGGGCTGACACGCGGGGAGCGCTGTTTCGCTGTTTACCTGCACCGTACGAGAGCTGCGCTCCCACTCTCACACACACGCACGCACGCACACACACACGCACACGCACGCACGCACGCACGCACGCACGCACGCAAGCACGCACGCACGCACGCACGCACGCACGCACGCACGCACACAGAGAGAGAGCCCTCCCCGGGGGTAATGGTGATGGTGGCGGGAGGGGAGTTAGAGAGCTCTTTTTCTTGTCTGGCTGGGTGTCTCTCTCTCTCTCTCTCTCTCTCTCTCTCTCTCTCTCTCTCTGTGTGTCTGTTGTGTCCCCTGTATCTCTCAACTCTCTCTCTGCTGTCCAGTGTCTCTCTCTCTTCGCTCCCATCTTTACCTCTAAAGTTGCTGCTGTTTGTTAACTACTACTGGCTGCTGCGCGCTGCTAGCGTGCTAGCTGCTAACTAACTGCTCGACTACTGTATGTTGCTACTACTGCTACTCGCTACTGCTAAACTACTACTAACTACTACTACCTGCTACTACTACTACTAAGCTACTACTAGACTACACTACCACTAGCTACTGCTGCTGGCACTAACTTGCTACTACTGTAGCTACAACTACTATATACTACTACTACTACTACTACTACTAGCTACTACTACTACTGGCTACTAACTACACTGCTACTTATCTACTACTACTAACTACTACTCTACTACTACTAACATAGCTTACTACTACTACTACTCACTAGCTACTATCTCGCTACTACTACTACACTACTACTACTATGCGTGCTGCTACTGCTGCTATACTGCTCTAACTACTATACTACTGCTGCTGCTACTACTACTGACTGCTACCTACTACTCACTGCTTACCTGCTGGCTGCTGACGCTGCTACTGCTGGCTATGCTGTGCTACTACTACTACTACTGCTGGCTACTACTACTGCAGCTACGCTGTTGCTACTACCTCATGTACTGACTGCTACGCTACTGCTGCTGGATCGATGATAGTGCTGCTGCTGCTACTCACTGGCTACTGCTGCTTGTGCTACTACTTGGCTACTGCCTAGCTACTGCTACTGCTGACTGCTACTGCTGCTGCTGCTTTTGCTGCTAAACTGCTACTGCTCTACTTATGCTATAGCTAACTTACTGCTGTTGCGAACTACTACGCTACTTACTGCTGTTGCTAACTACTGTTTTGTAACTGCTGCTACTACTTGCTACTGCTACTACTGCTGTTGTCTACTACTACTGCTACTACTGCATGTTGCTACTTCACTGTACTCGCACTGCTACTACTGCTACTTGCTACTTACTGACTGCTGTTGCTACACTACTGCCTACTACTGCTGTGGCTAGCTACTGTTACTCGCTGCTGCTGATCGAATACTGTCTCCCTGCTGCTCTTGTGCCTGCTGTGAGCAGGTGGGCTGAGGCGCCGGGTTGAAACATCGAGAGAGCGTTTGGCTTGCAACACGAAGCAAGCCTGCTGCGGGCCGTCGGCGGGACAAAGACAGATCGTAGGCGACGACGGTGTTTTACAGCAGACGCTTGCCACAACTAACATCTCCTGCACAACCAGCCATTTCGCAAGCGGGGGCGACACAATCGAACGTACGACGACGACTGACGACGACGAGACGACGAACCGACGATGATGATGAGACGATGATGATGAAATAATCTGGTCCTACTGCTACTGCTGTGCTGTTTTGGTGTTTGGGTGATGCACGATGATGATGCATGTCAAGATTGGGAGAAAGATGATGATGATGAGGGCACGAGAATGATGAAGGAATGAGGATGGAGGAGGGGTGAGGAGAGAGATGGAGGGACAGGAGGGAAGCAGGGAAGAGAGGAACAGGAGGAAGAAAGAAGAGGAGGAGGAGAAGGAGGAGGATGAAAAATAGAAGCAGGATGAGAAAGAGGAGGTCAGCAATCAGGACGATGCCGATGACGATGCCGATGACGATGACGACGATGACGATGGCTAGAAGATTCATGACGACGACGACAATGTTTATAACGCGTCGCCACAGTAACCGGCAGCTGCGGCGACATCACCATGACAACGGGGCCGACGTGCTTGACGGCGGCGACAATGCGCACGTGGCGACGACCTGTGTTTGCGCTCAGCCCGACACAAGCATTACCGCCGTCGTCGGCCCGACATGTTCTTTTGTCTCGATGCAAATCCGCACGCCATCTTCCGGTGGGCCCCGGGGCGATGATGCCGGGATGGGAGACGCACGGAGTTGAAGGTTACAAGGAGGGATCCACTCCTCTCTCTTTCTCTCTCTCTCTATCTATCTCTCTATCCTCCCCTCTCTCTCTCTCTCTCTCTCTCTCTCTCAGAGAGAGAGAGAGAGAGACTCTCTCTCTCTCTCTCTCTCTCTCTCTCTCTCTCTCTCTCTCTCTCTCTCTCTCTCTCTCTCTCTCTCTCTCTCTCTCTCTCTCTCTCTCTCTCTCTCTCTCTCTCTCTCTCTCTCTCTCTCTGGGCTTGTGTTAGAGCAAACGTAGATTCGCTTCTCTGCACCGGACGCCGTCTCCCGTAGGTGGCGCCACCCGACCGGCGTCGCGGAAACAACACTTAGACGGGACCGCGGCCACGTCCGAAAATTTCCTTTCGACGAAGCATTTCGAAACTTTTTTCTTCTCTTCCGCCGCTACACCGAATTCTTTTTTCGCTATCTATTTTTTCCGACAGAGCGTTTGACTTGCGTTGCCTGCTGTTTTTTTTTCTCTCGCTCTCTCGTTTCTGAGTTGTCTTTTCGCGTGCTTCTGCCCGCGTGTGTGATCGTTCCACTCTTGTTCTTCAGGTTGCTGGCTCACTCCACGTTGCCGTGGTGTTGTTGTTGTTGTTGTTGTTGTTGTTGTTGTTGTTGTTGTTGTTGTTGTTGGTGTTTTGTAGTTAGTGTTGCTGTATTCCGGAGGGGGGCGCCGGCGTTGTCGGTAACGAAATCGGTATTAATGTTGTTTGTTTTTTTAAGAATAATTACTGTATTTTCAGAAAGTTACATAAACAGTCTGTAAGTACATACCTATACACACACATACACTGGTACATAGACTTGTGAACATTAGTCTTGCTATTAGGGATCATATAATAATAATCTAATATAATAATATCATATAATAATAATCTAATATAATAATATCATATAATAATAATATCATATAATAATAATCTAATATAATAATCTAATATAATAATAATCTAATATAATAATCTAATATAATAATATCATATAATAATAATATCATATAATAATAATCTAATATAATAATCTAATATAATAATAATCTAATATAATAATCTAATATAATAATATCATATAATAATAATATAATATAATAATATAATACAATAATATCATATAATAATAATCGGTATTAATGTTAGTCTCAAGTTTAATCTCGACGCGAACTTTTTCTTCTTCGTCCGACGTCCTTCCGCATGCGCACTTTACCCGCCGTGAGTCGCTCGATCTGCTCACCAGGTGGCGTTTACCATGCACGCGACGTCGTGTCGGCAGTAGCGATAGCAGAGTGCGCTAGCGTGCCGCGTGCCACCTCTCGCAAACTTCGCTCGGCGTTGTCGTGGAAACGCATCACGCTGCTTCTCGCCGGGATTGAGGCGTTACGAGGATGCTCTCTTGTCGAGGCGTTGTCGCCGGCGACCGCACGCCATCTTGATTGCTGACGTTTCGCGTTGTTTTGCTAGTTGAGGTTTTTCGCTGCTATCTTCCTGTTTTGAATGTTATTTTACGTTTACGCGTTTTTGTGAACAAACAAACGAAGGTGGGTTAACAGAGGACGCCGCTTGTTTTAAACCACACCGGCCATCTTTGTCCGCGTCGCTAAAAACCAGTCTATTGTTTACAGATGGCGGGCGGAGGAGCACCTAGACCAATGGGAGGCCCCGCAATGGGCATGCCGATGGGAGGCCCCGCAATGAGCATGGGATTCCAGCAGCAGCCAATGGGCATGCAGCAGCAGCAGTTTCCGCGGCAACCGGCGCCCCAGCAGCAGCAGCAGCAGCAGCAGCAGCCGAACGACCCCTTCGGAGCTCTGTGAGACGGTGCTGCCCTCCGGCGGGCCGATTCGCAACTAAAATTCGCGGAGGCGGGGGAAACCCCCGACGCGCGGTCTCGCATAGACCGGCGCCCGCTTCGTTCTCTCGCCCGCGAACGACTACGCGCGCGGTTGCGAGCGCCCGTCTAGGACGGACGCGGGTGTTCGTCGTGTTAATACAAGTGTAATAAGTAAATAATTAAGTAATTAATTAAGCGAGTAAAACTATTGGAGAGTGCGATGTAGTGCCGGGATGCTGACTGTGAACACAACACGTATAGACTAGGGGACTGTCCTTTTAATCCTGCATGTAACGAGTAATAACAAAGGACGCGGCGTCCGTCTAAGCGTCGCGGCGAGCGAGCTCCGAAATCAAAATGGCGGCCGCCCCGGACACGACTAATAGATACGGCAGTTGAGGCTGTCGGTAGGTAAATAGGTAGCGTTATGATGAGGGAGGGAGGGGCAGGGGGGAGGGGGTCACTGTTTGTGAGGTGATGTGAAGAAGGGGGTTTTCTTGCCATGTTTGTCGTAATTCTCTCTCTCTCTCTCTCTCTCTCTTTCTCTTTCTCTCTCTCTCTCTCTCTTTCTCTCTGCCTCCCCCTCTCTCTCCATCCCTCCCTCTCCCACCTCCTCTTTTTCCCCCTCTCCCTCCTTCACTCCTGCTCCCTCCCTCCCTCTCTCTCTCTACCTCTTTCTCCCTTCTCCCCCTCTCCTCTGCTCCTCTTCCTCCACTCATTTCTGCACCAGAGAGCTTAACAAACGCTAAACACCACATTTCGCTTGTAACCCCCGACTCTTGCTGGCCATTCTCCCCCATAGAGGGCGCTACCAACGTCGCCGCCCGACGTAGGGGGCGCCGCCGACGTTGTCGGTTCTCGTTTTCTCCAGACGGGCCGTCGCCCGCACGCTCTCTTGTTTATTCTCGCCGCTCGCCGCCCTGGNTTGTGTGAACCGAAGGTGTATAAATTTAATATCGTATCGCAGGAGAGGGAACTAATCACCTAACTATAATTAATACGTAACGAGAGAGAGCGTAGAATTCGTCGTGCGACGACAACGACGACGAAAACAGTGACCTTGGGCAATAATTATTATCGTATTACGCACAGTGTGTAACTCTTACTGCCGAGTCGTCAAGGGTATATGTATATATATACATATATATGTATCCGTATGTATGTCTATATATATATACATATATATATGTATCCGTATGTATGCCTATATATATATATATATACATATATATATATACACACATATATGTATGTATGTATGTATGTATACACGTGTATGTGCGTACGTATGTATGTATCTGTGTATGTACATATAAACATACATATGTGTGTGTACACGAAATACGTATATATACATACATGTACGTGTGTAGTATATTGTGTATGTATATCATATGTGTGTTTATATGCATATATACGCAAAATACTTATATATACACACAATGTACTTTACATGTATATGTATATATACATGTGTATATATATATATATATATATATACATAGATATGAACCTTTTATTTTGTGGTGGAGACTAGCTAGTACCACAGGCTCCACTACTAGCATGTGTAGGCACTTATGTGGCAATCATGTGATCCAATGTTGATCGATTGTATATGTCTGGCGTCGTGGCATCTATTCTATATGTCTGGCATCGTGGCAGTGGTCTGCAGAGGGCGGGCTTAACATCCATTGTATATGTTCGCTAGCTTACCATCGATTGTATATGTCTGGTGGCTTAACATTGATTGTATATGTCTGGTGGCTTGACATCAATTGTATATGTCTGGTGGCTTAGAATCGACTGTATATGCCTGGCGACGTATAGGATCGACTGCATATGCCTGGTGACGTATAGGATCGACTGTATATGTCTGGTGGCTTGACATCAATTGTATATGTCTGGTGGCTTAGAATCGACTGTATATGCCTGGCGACGTATAGGATCGACTGCATATGCCTGGTGACGTATAGGATCGACTGTGTATGTCTGGTGCGACGATTGCTGGTGAGATGCGGTGGCGCCGGTGTAGCCAACACCCAGACAGCTAGGTGGCGCCGGTGTAGCCAATGCCCAGACAGCTAGGTGGCGCCGGTGTAGCCAACACCCAGGCTTCTAGGTGGTGCTCTGCCGTCGTTCTTCCTCTGGAGACGGTGGCGCCCCCAAGTGGCAGGCTGAATGTGCAAGCAAAGAGGAGGAGGGGGCGAGAGTAGAAAGAAAGGGGAGGAGGAGGGGAGTGAGGCAGAGAAGAAACCCAAAGATGTCCCCCCCTCTCTACTAGAGCAATAATCATGATCAAGTTCCAATCTCGAAACCTCCACCCAGGTCTCATGCCAAAAACCGGCACCAGGGGGGGCGACACCGGCACTTCGTCGTTCCCGCGGCGTTCCCGGAGTCCTTCGGACGTTCTTGTGTTTTGGTGTCTCCTCGTTGCAGTGGTGAGTGGGTGGGTGGCGCGAGAGATAGACTGGCGACGCGTGCGGTCGCGGTTTGTCGTTTGGCTACACCGGCGTCAGATGGCGGCAGTCTATAAACCTACTGCAGTTTACGATAGCGGTGTCAATAAAGAGAGCGCCACGTGTTGGCGCCGAGATGAAACAAATCCTGGCGTTCGTTTTTGTCTGTGTT